GTCTCTCTCTCTTCCATCACTCTCGCTTGTTATCCCACACAGCGCCCTTCACCTTCCGAAGAACCACCTTTGCCCTCACCTCCCTCAGCGCTATCCAGGAGCCCTGCTATGGCTGCCAACGCCCTGCGCCTAGGCTGCGCCCTACCGCTTAGCGCCAGCCTGCCTTCACTCAGCCTAGCGCAGCGCAGCACCTGCACTCGCAATGCAGCAGCGTGCCAACTTTGCTCGCAATGGCCAAGATGCCTGCCCACTCGCCCGCTCTGCCTATATGCCAGTGTTGTGTGTGGGCTCCCTTGAGCCTGCGCCTGGGCCCCAGTACCTGTACCCAGGCCCAATGCGGTTGGGGCCCACGCAATACAGTTGCGCCCCTTTCATCAAGGCCTTCGTCCAGATTCAGATACTGGACCGGTTTCCCATTGGCATTTTCGGCCTCTACGTCCAGCATGCAATGTCGGCCTCACGTTTATGTGCCCAGGGCCTAACCAATTCTGGGGCCCTGGGTCTTCTGCATTTGCAGGGATCTGGTACTCGGTGCACTCCAACCAACTGGCGTGCGGCAACTGTCTGGCACCCACTTCGTGAAATGTTGAATGAAAAGGCCTCTCGTTGATTTGCTGGCCCGCCTTCACTTAGGGCGGGCACGAGGCTTGCTGGGGGCCTTAGCCCAGAACATGTACATCACGGCAACGCCCCTTTGAGGGCTCATTCCTCACACATTGTTGTTGTTATTATTATTACAAGGGGATCCGCTGCGGCTTCGCCCACGGCAGACCAGGAGGTAGGAGGAGGAAGGGTCAAACGGGTTTGAGAGGAACAAACCAATCATTTGATAACCAAAAACAAAAAAAACAAAAAAAAAAAACACGTTTTTTTTCTGGAAGGGAAACATTTGGAACGCCGTTGTTTTTTTTTTGGGTAACTTAAGAAAAGCAAACAAAAAAAGTGGTCCTTTTTTACGAAATAGAAGAACGGAAAAAAAAAAACGATGAAGGTTGTTACTGTTTTTCGTAACCAAAAAAAAAAAAAAAAAAAAAAAAAAGTTGATGCGCTGCCCATTTTTTTTTTTTTTTTTTGTGGAAGCGAAATATTTCAAAGCCGTCGTTTTTTTCCTTTTTTTTGGTAATTTAGTCGATATCATTTTTTACGAAAAAGAAGAAAGAAAAATA